AATAGTGTTGTTTTTTGGGGTTTTAATAAGCTTATTGGTGGTTGGTTGTTCGAGTTTTTTGGTTACTTTAGGAGAGGCAAGTGGTAGGTGGACGAGTTTTGGGGTTATATTTCAAATGGTAGTGAGTTCAGGATTTGCAACTCTGTTAATGCTTCAGAGTCTTGCTGTGAACGTGGTGTTGTATATGTATTGCAAGGCATATCGTGGGGAGCTGGCGTTTGAGATCGCGGAGGAGTTTGCGAGTCAGTATGTGTGTTTGCCTTTTGATAATGAGAAGGTTCCTCATCTTGTTTGTGTTGTTCAAGATTGAATGTGCCTAAGGTCAGTGAGATTATGTTAGGATGATGCAGTTAGTAGTTTGAAGAAGTAGTGTTTTGTTTTACTCGTAGCATGTATATAGTTTCTTGTTTGTTAGATAAATGATTGAAGATGTGTGTTACCTGTTGGCAATGTGCATCTTTATATGTAAAAAAAGCTTAATACTGTTATGAAATTTCCTTCTAGTTTTGCCACTTCTCATGTATCATCCTAGTATGAAATGTGAAGTTAGGTTGAATATTATGTCCAGCTTAGCTGCAGTGGTGTCTCATTATCTTGCTCTTGAGACTTGTGAGATCCAACTTGATTTGAAGTTGTGGAACAAATAAAGTGTACATTGAATCAGAAACAATTGAAGGGAGTCATGGCTGGTAAAGTTGACCTCATGTGACTAGGAGATCATGGGTTCGAGCCGTGGAAACAGCCTCTTGCAGAAATGCAGAAATGTAGTGTAAGGGGTTACTCTTTTATTGAATCAGAAACAATGAACTATCCTTGAATGGCCCCTGCTATTTCTCTTCCATGGGAATTGATCCCAGTTGAAAATCATGTTGCTTTAATAGTTTAACACAAAAAGAAGCAAAATTTAAGTTCATTGCTTCAACTTCTGAATACTTATATACAGTCTTGGAAATCAGAGGCCATGTTTTGTGTATAAAATCATCATGTATCCAATATCAGTTGTAAATCTGATATTGGAATGTCTGTAAAATTGGAGATGGTGGTTTTACTTGCATTTATATGATGTAAGGCCAGTTGCAAAGTGTGTATGATGAGAATAGGAATCCGCCTTGACACTAACAAGCTCTGTTTTCCTTTATTTTCTTCTCCTTTCAAGAAAGACGAATTTGACAGTGGTTTAATGTAAAACAATGAATATGTAGTTGCATACGTCTCATTGCAAGCACATATTTGGAAACTTCTCTGCCAATTGGATCAGAGATTTATAGAGGAAATTGAGTTCTAAATTCCCAAAAACACACGATTATATAGTCAAAGCGAATAGGCTGCCTTTAAAATCATCTCAAGCGCGGCTAATATGGCTATAAAGTTATTTCTTGGGGAAGTTCCTACCTAAGATGAAGAGCACTTATATAAAGTTACTACAGAAGGTGATTTCAAGTTGGCCAAGGTGAAGAGAAGAAAATGATAGAGAGATTACACGTGGAGCTCACCTAACCTATGTAATATCTAATAACTCGAGTCTTATGTCAGTCATAGAACGGCAACACATTTTGAGCACGCTTGTATTTTCTGCAGAATGTAATTGCATTATTCAATTGGATCCTAAAGGTAAAGACTTCAGTAATTTGATTGGATATTCCAGTCCAATCAATCAACTGAGTTACTCTTCGAGTTTGTCCTTTAAGGCAAAGTAAGATTTGTCTAATCAATCAACGACATACATTTAACTAAGGATATTGATCACCTACGACTCTAGTCGTATAAAAAGTAGAAGCACTCGTTGTAAATATAATCCGGTCTAAGAATTTGGAGTCTAATCCCATAGAGAATTAAGGTTTAGCTACAACTGTTTACTATCACTAAGAAGAAAGGGTAAGACACAGGTACTTGGTTCGCTCTATTTCTTTATCTCCCCATGAATCGTATGTTTGTAACAATAGGGACAGAAGACAAGTTCGAACAATTCCTAAGTAATAAATATTAAGATTCTTGTATCTAATTAACTAACAAATTAAATTAGTAGATTAACAACTAGGGATACTAAGGGTTAGAGACAAGATTAAGGAGGTCTAGAGTTATGACTTTTCCAATTGTCGGATTCCTTCCCTCTACGCCTCCTATAATTTCGCCTAAGTATTCTCTACCGATCATGAGTAATTCGGGAATCGTAATTCTCTTCCGAGCATACCACAATTTACTAGACATATTATTCCGAACTACGCTAGCTGGCACTAATTCACCGCTCACTAAGATCGCACCAAGGTTTCGTTATTCCTAATCACACCTTTAAACCCTCTGTATTGATTCCTCACATACGTTAGGAGTGATGTTGTTCAACAACTACCTAAATATGTACCATTTTTCCAGCAATACACACTAAATAGGCATAGCAATTGAGGGCCCTTCAATCAACTAAAATAATCACATAGTTGAACAAAGAGAAAATCCAATGGCAAAATTATATTAAACGCAACAGAAAAATTATCCTTCAAAAGATTCCATCAAACCCTAGATTGGAAAGTTTAGCTACTCATAACCATACTAACAATCATGATAATAATTGAAAGCATTAAAATACAGATTAAGGAAGAACGGAAGAGAAAACGATTTGTTGCTTCCAAGTGTTCTCGTAGCCTTCTTGCCTCTCCAATAATGTCCAACCCTTTCTCAACTCGTTTGGGAGTATTTATATGTTAGGGCCGAAATCCCTCAGTCTAAATCCGGGTTGGAGTCTTTTAACCCGCGACTTTTAATTACCGGACTATAGACCTCGCGAGGTCAGGCTTATAGCGCGGTCAACCTGGCTATAGAGCTAGCTTTACTTGGTCTATAGAACGGTAAGGCAGGCTATAGAGCTGGCTTTACTTGGTCTGTAGCACGTATTGGGTACTTGATGCTTTTGTGCTTTTTTCCTGCATATTTGTCCTCTTTTTGTGCAACTTTCATTCGACTCTTTCTTCCGATGCTCCTACACATAAAATAACACAATTTAGCTCAAATGTCGCACAATTAATCACTAAACCAACAAAATATATGGTGAGTAATGTACTAAAAGTATAGCATTTTGGCCGAACATCAGATATATAAAGAAAATCGATAATTCAAGTCAAACCGGAAAAAAAATTATTTGTGGTTTGGTTCGATTTGGTTTGGTATTGAATAAAAAAAACAGACCATAATTGATTTGATTTGGTTTTAACTTAAAAATGTCAAACCGAAACCAAACCAACCCGATATTACATTTATATAATTTTTAAATATATTTATGGTAATGTAATTTATAAATATTTCTTAAACTTTTTCACATATTTATCTTTTAACGTATTATTTCAAACTTGGATTTAATATATTTGAATGGTGGATTTAACATTCTTGAATGGTTCAATAAGTTTCATAACCCATAAATATTGTGACTCAAATAAAGCTCAAATCAATACTAATGCTAACAAATAAAAATCAATTCAACACTAAAATTGACAATAACGTTGGATGTCTATTTTTTAGTTTTGAATTAGTTTATAAAAAAAAGTGCATAACTTAGTTTATTTTTTCCTCAGTGCTTAGTCCTATAACTAATAGTACTTATTTTAGCATGACCTATATAACACTTTTAGATTATGTTCATCTTCATTGCGACTTATTAATTAGCAATATTTGTTTTATGCGAATTTATTATCTTTGTTATTGAACATTTTAATACAATGTTATGACTCATCTCATATTACCATATTATTTTTCTTGAAAAATACAGCATATAGTTGGACTAAAGAAATATTTAAAACACAAGTCATATATTTTGTACTATGAAAACTTTATTGGAAAAAAAAACAAATAAAAACACTAGAAAAACCGAGATTAAAAAACTCAACTTCGTTGATTTGGTTTATAGATTTAAAAATTTGATACCACCCTACATTTGACTAATTATATAATCTTTTTCCACCAAGTATAAAGAATAGTCAAGGCAAGCAAGAGAACCCAGTGGTTTCTCCATAGAAACATTGAAATGAACTTCAAAAAAATTGTAAGGAGAATTCCAGCTTCCAAGTGATAGCAGACAGAAGTGATCATTGAATGCTGCATTTGAGGACAAGAGAATGACAATCTTTTTCCACTAAACATTTACAGCACTTCTCTCTCACCCAAAAACCAAAACTTGAACTCAATGGCCAATGGAACAGACCAAGTTGAAGGTATATACTACTGGACAAACATCATCAACAAATTAAGAAATGTCAACAGATCATGCAACTTCAAGAGCTTACACAAGAATTCCGAGTACGTTTTCGAGGCTCAATGTTTCCTGATGTTAGACTGGCTTGATGAAGATGGTATCATCAATCTTCTGACTCGATCATCTTGTTGATCAGATCCAAAAAGAATGCTACTCCACCTTGTTGACCTTTGCACAATGCGAGTAGGGACTCGATCACTATCCTCTCCACCAGATGCCTCGTATCCATCACTAGTCGACCTAGACAGTGGAGTGTCCTTCTGAGGAGTCATTCCAGATGATAGGCCCACGAAACGCGTAGCTTCTTCAACACCGGACGATGACACCCGGAGTGGGTGAATGTCAGGAGAGTCCAAACTACTCTCGGGGGAAGAAGCAGCAACACCACCTGAGGACAGTCCTCGGCCTGTTCGGAAATCGCTCCGTGCTTCAAGCTGAAGTGGAGCCAGACTACTTAATGTTTCACTCATGATAGCATTTCTACTGTTTTGAGCTATATCACTAGGAATTTTACTCAAGTTTTCGAAGGGTAGCTCTGTGGGGAGTCGAACACGTTTACTAGCTCTCCTTCTATTGTTATCAGGCCTAGGCACCATGCGACGTCCACTGCTTCCTAAACTGCTATTTGTTTCAAGGGTGTAAGATTCTTTGTTTCTCACTACTGGATGGAGAATTTTGGATTTCTTCCTCGCTTCAGCAGCAGCTTTTGAAACATCCTCTGCATTCAATCGTGCTAATGTCCATGGACTGATCTTCACAGCAGCTGGATTCTTTTTCTTGATTGGTTCCTCTACCGTTGACCTTTTACCAAGTGAACTGACCGATACAGTGTCAGGAGCAACTACATCATACTGCAGGGAAACACCAAAATTAAAGGAAAATCAACATCTTTTATTCTTATAAAAGCATTAAGCAAACACTATCCATCTCAAGTTTAACTATAATCAGACCATATGAAATCCGACATTGTATTTCACTAACTAGACAATCCCTTAACCATTGTAACAACCACGCCCAAAACTGTTCAAGATTTGCTATCGGTCAAAGTGGATTACTATCCTCATGAAAATAACTTTGCAAGAACTCCATGCTGATAGCAAAAAGTTCCATTTTCTAGAAAGCCTTGGTACTTTTGACAACAAAAGAGTCAAAATCTATCAAGCTCAAGATTGGACATACTAGCTCTAAGGAGAGTCCACATCGAAGAACACTACTATTCAGAAGCAGGCAAAGCATTGACCACACTACCGGGTTAAGTGGAATTGAAGCTAAGAAATGGGAAAATAGGAACCACAACCAAATCTTGATTTAACTAGAAGACAATCATGAATAAGCACCACAAACTCGATAAAGGGCTTCTAACACCATGACCTTTTAGTGCTACTAAATTCCAGAAATTATCACAATTGATTCCTTGTTAAACCATACCTGATCCTCAACAAAAAGGCGAGGCGGTGTGCACCATGCTGCTCGATGGAAAGTATTGAAGGAGCTTGCACTGCTTAACCCAGTTAGGGAGCTTACAGTTGACATTTGAGGACTTTGCTGACCTGCAACTCCTTGTTGTTCTTGATCTCTGAGAGCAATGATGTAGTCGTAGGTGCTAATTCCCTGTTGACCAAGCAAACATACTGTCAGCTGATAAAAGAAGCCACGAGATAGGATCACCAGATGACAAAAGGCTTACCTTCTTTATGAGAAGTATGTGAAAGAAGAAAAGCTGAGCAAGTGGCAGGGTTGCTATCATGGCCAATATAGTACAGACTGCCTGTTACAATGTATAACTAACATCAGACACATTTCAGAGATAAAATTATACGAAGACAAATCTGTTTTCTTTTAAAATCAAGGCATAAAACAATTTGTGTAGATTCGTAATGTTGAACACATAATTAAGCAAATAAAAGTGTGCTCTTTCTGACAACATAAACCTTTAGATGATATGGTCACACATTTTAACATGGTATTAGAGCAGACAGGCGTCCTGGTTTCGAGACTCGCCAGCCAACGCAAGAATATCCACGTGCTTGGCTTATGAAAAAAAATCAGGTCCACACGTGACGAGGCGTGTTGAAGACATAATTAAACTAATAAAATTGTTCTCTCTAACAACTTAAGCTTTTAGATAAGATGGTCACACACTTCAACACCTAATTTTCATTTTTAGCGCAAAAATATTGGTATGTACAGTTACTTCTTTTTCTGCTTACTACTCCCTTTTCCAAAATAAAACTATAAAAATGGCACGAAGGAATATGGGGTCCTGACATAAAGGCAAATGTAAGAATATATACTCACCACCACAATAACAAAGGGAACAAGGGAGAAACTGCTTCCCAATTTGGAGGTGATTTCCGCAGAAAATTTCTTCTTCTCGATGAAGCAGTAGATCAGTACAAAAATTCCAGTTGACCACTGAAGTATAAGCTGCAATCTCAAGTCCAAAGTGCACAAACCATGTATAGACCTGTCAATAGTCAATTAAATGGAAAATGCACAAATATGAAATGTTTAATGTCTGGGGTGACTCTGACCGTGGGCAAGTTTTCTTCAGGAAACAAGGGAATAGAAAAAGAATCTTGGACCCAACATGAGAGGTTTTTCTATGACAGTTTGGAAGCGGGTCAAAACGGGTATGCAAATAACCAACCATCCTCCCTCCCACATAATGAAAAAGAAGTAAAGGAGAAAGGGGGCGAGGAAGGTCGAGGGAAGGAGAGATAAAGGAAGAAAGGACTGATTTAAAACCGAAGATGCTATTTCAATTTTAAGGAAACGGATACACCTTCAGACAGAAGACAATAATTTACTAGCCTGTGAGACTCATCACCTAACTTAGAATTCTTTAGAACTGAGTGTAAGCGCGCTTAAAGCTAGCAAAGAGTGCTAGATCATACCAGGAGGAGCGCAGAAACCATGAGCGTAAAGAACTTGCGATAGTTCCTTTTACCTATGCAGTTGTTCAGCCACTACAGAATCCAAAGAGAAAAACAATTAGGATGTTTTTACATATATGTAGACACGGACAAGCATCTACGCAAGATGTAATATGTTTCAGACCACTCAAGTTTGTCAAATACCCTGCAATGATGATCAAACTGATCGACGCACTTGTCACATACTCTACAATGCTTGCTGTATTTAAATACCTGCAAATGTCATCCAGCATTGAGTTATAACTTATGAACATATATTCCAGCAATCTCTCTAAAACAAGAACAGCTATATCAAGCTAAGCACATCCATTTTAAACAAAATCAGTTTTACACCTGATAATTTAACAAAAATGTTTCGACTTCATAATTAGAGGGTGATTCAACGACCCAAAAAATAATAACTAGTCGGGGCTTCTGAAGTTAGGAATTGTATTCTTGTTTTACAGGAACACACCTCTACTTCACACAAACTGCAGTAGAACATGCCGTCTTCACTCAACTGTTGCTGAGAAGATTCCTCATGTCTACCTGTGCAGTTGCAGATAAGAGCACAAGGTAGTAGAGCCAACAAGCCTCTTTGATGAGTAGCTGTAATTTTCTTTTGAGTTGCATTGTGATCTGCAGCTGGTTCAACTCCTTTATTGCTTTTTACAGATGCATTTTCTCCAATTGAAGCAGCATTAGCGTCCTGTATAGACGAATTCGTCTCACACCCTAATTTAGATTCTTTAAGTTGAACTTGTTTTTTGTTGTCTAGCTTCTTAATATACTTCTTGGATTTAAAAACTCCTGGATCAGCAGGATCAGCACCAGCACACCATATATACAAGCCAAACGCACTAATTATCTGGAGAAAACAAAGGATCACATTAACAAGACGCCTTCAAATGAAAACTTACATGGTGCAATAGCCAAAGTTTCGAAAGCGTTCACATATCAGGTTGTTGAGCATGTATTCAAGTCATGAAAGAATTAGTTATCACCAATCTCATTGGATAACTTTTTGACATTCTATAAGTTAAATGGTAATAGCAAAATCCAGTAGCTTTTTGAATTCTTCTTAATTAAAAATCAATATTGTGTTACGTGCTAATGTAAGACACAAGCCATTTCTCAGCTGCAATAGGTCCTGAACATCCAAAAATTTCAACTGCGGCAGCTCATCATGACTTCTAGAATAAAGAGAGAGAAAAATGAGAATTGTTTAATAGAAGAGTCCAACCCACTCCACAATATCAAGTTTATCATCTACTAGTACTCCTAGGCGCACCTGAGTCTTGGGAATGTGTTCAATTGAACCCTTCATTTTCAGCACAGATAGTAATTATATATGTGAAAAGCCAGAAAACAATTACTATAATATAATACTCCTATCAAATTCTGAACCCATATTTTCAAAGAACTAAGAACCTTGAACCTAATAAGTTGCTCAATTAAGTTTAAATTCTGGGTTTGCCTCAGCTTGAGCTGTTATTGCTTTTTTTCCCTCTATTTTTTGGTTCTTACAATGCTGTTATTATATGTTTGGTCTCTGTTGTTGTTATTGATCTATTGTCTCTTTCCTCTTCTTGAACTGAGGGTCTATCGGAATCAGCTTCTCAACCCCGGGTAGGGGTAGGTTGTTGTTGTTGTTGTTGCCTCAGCTTGAGCTGTATCAAATAGAACTATAGGGTCTCCAACATTATGAATATTTTAAATCATACAAAGAGAACTACCTAAAGAAAGGAAAAGAAACTATGTATTGAAAAGCCACAGAACATAAGATATTTGTCAAAGCAGAGTAGAATCTAGAAAGTACAATGGAACGCATAGAGGAAAGATCTGTAACACTAGTTCACAATCAAGAACCAAGAGACAGCTAAAAGATAGATCTGAGTTCTTCATTGCCTTGACAAACAATGCATGTATGAAACATAACAAAAGAAGGCAACAGAATTTCAAAATGACTTACAAGAGGTGTATAAAGCCCCATCACAATATATTGAAACAATTTCTTCCCCACAAAAGGTGCAAAGAATACATAAAAAGCAAATCCCAATGCCAGAAATACAGCAACAGCTACCACCTGCAAAGATAAATACCTAAAATCAAACATATTTTGCAGAATTCCCAAATTAGAAACCAAGCAACTAAACTGTACACATAAATAGCCCCCCCAAAAACAAAATATAAAAAGTGAAAAAGTTGGAACCTGGAGAGGATGATAGGGAAGTTGCCATCCATGTTTCCTCATTGTGCTGATTGAATGTAGCAGCCAACAAAAACGTTTTCAAGAAAATGCAAAAGGGGGGAAGAAAAAGACTTGATTTTTGCTCTATTTCCTCTCTTGAATCTCTATTTTCTTTCAGCTCCCCACATTTTTCAAGGGAAAAACAAAAAAGATCAGTTTTTTTATTGTATTGCACAACTGAAAACCAAGAAATCTTGAATACCCATTCACTGTATATGTTTCATGAGATATGAAAATGGAAGAAATGGGAAGGGAGAAAAAAACAAGAAAACTACAAATAAAGGAAGCTCAAAGGGAAACAAAATACATGCTTGACTGACAGTGGAGTGTGGGGAAGGAGTGAAGGGATATGGCTTGATTGCTATAGGTAAGCTTTTGTCTAGTTCACTCAATCATAATCCACAACCCCATAAGCACAATGAGGTTGAAGAGAGATAAGAGCTTTGAGTCTTGAAACAAAATGGGTACTCATTATTTTCCTCTATTTTACTTCTCTTTAAAAAAAAATTGTTTATTTGTGATTTTGTTTTTTTGGTTTTCTTGTCTTCTTGGGAAGAGAGAGGTCTCTTACAGTGATTGATCTGTAGGTGCTGTAACTGATGAGAGAGAAAGAGAAAGTGAGAGATCAAGAAGAGAGAGGCATATGCTGCTTTTGAAGCTTATTATTACCTTGCCAACCAACACAACCTGCTTTCACTTTTTCCCTTGTGTCTTCCATTTGCCTTTTGCCATAGGCAAAATTATGTGTCACACAAGAGGCAACATTAGCCAGTTGTATTTCTTTCTTCTTTTTAATGAGTTTAAACTGGTATTTGGACATCCATTTACTTCAAACTTACAAAAATAAGCTTTTGAAGATGAGATAAAAGAAAATAATTTTTAAAAGTTAAAATTATATTTGTATATGTATTTTACTTGAAAGAATTTAAAGTTTTTTTAGTAGAAAACTTCAAAAAATTCAAAAATTACTTTAAAGTTGTTTTTGGGATTTGAAGATTTTGTTTTCAAAACTTTATTAGTTTCCAAAAATTTAAAGAAATTATGTAGAAAAGTTCAAAAATTACTTTAAAGTTGTTTTTGGGATTTGAAGATTTTGTTTTCAAAACTTTATTAGTTTCCAAAAATTTAAAGAAATTATGTAGAAAAGTTCAAAAATTACTTTAAAGTTGTTTTTGGGATTTGAAGATTTTGTTTTCAAAACTTTATTAGTTTCCAAAAATTTAAAGAAATTATGTAGAAAAGTTCAAAAATTACTTTAAAGTTGTTTTTGGGATTTGAAGATTTTGTTTTCAAAACTTTATTAGTTTCCAAAAATTAAAGAAATTATGTCTGAATTCACACCAAAAATTAACCAATTTAATCTCATACTCCGAAAAAGTTTAAATATATTAAAACAAAAGATGTATAACATATTATTATGTGGTAAACATATATGATTTAAATTCTTTTTGAATTCCCAAGCAACCCTTCATTTATGGCTCTTCTAACACTTCTCCCTACCTCTTTTTTCATTTCTCTCTCTTGAGTCTTGTCTATTTCTATGGAACTTTTATCCAAAATGGTCCTTGGAACTTTTTCATTCTTTATCCATTTCTTTGAAAATACTTTTCAATATTTCCTGTTCTCTCTCTTGGTGGAAATTAATGGGTACAAGTGTAATTCAAAATTGTCAGTTTTATGTTTTGTTTTTTACTACAAAAATAGATTTGAAGGTTCATGACTTCATGTGACGTTCACTAATTTAAGAACTTGGCAAAATACATATAATTGAGCAAAAAGTATAATTAAAAGTTTTTGCTCATAAACCATGGTAGGATATATAGTACTGTTACATAAAACAGTTCAGAAAAAATGTACTCACCCTCATTGTTTAGAGGATAATATTACACTAAATATCTTCGTTAAGTACCCCTCCGATCTAATTTAATTGATTTTTTAATTATTTTTACACATATTAAGAAATTCACATTTTAATATTTATAAATAATTAAATTGACCATATTAATCTTTCTTATCCTTTTAATTTGTTCATTGGAAATATGACAGATACTCCGAGACTCTTTGCTCCAAGTACAACTTAGGAAAAAAAGAAGTTAATTCCTTCTTGATATTTAAAAAAAATTAAATATTGTAAACCACAAAAAAAGGCTAAAAAATTAATTAAAGTGGACCGGGAAGTAATAAATTGAGATGAGAATATGTATTAAATAATCACTCCCTACGGTCCACAATAAATGATTTATTGATTTTTTTTGTGGTCCAAAATATCTGATTTTTTCAGATTTCAAGAATAAATTAACTTTTTTTTCCTACATTACCCTTGGAGTAAATAGTGTTGGAGTATGCGTTACGAATGTTTATGTGAAAAGATAGTAAATATTAATATGAATAATTTTATTGTTAATTAATGCTAAAGTAAAGATTTCTTAATCTATGTCAAAACAGTCAAAAGAATCACTTAGCGTGGATCGAATGGAATAAAATTCGGTGGTAATAATGCATGCAAACACAGAGTGTGAATAAGACTTAAAAAAATAATATTACTCTCTAGCTCTTTGAATGTATTTTGCCTTTTAAGCTCCTAGATTCTGTAATAACCTGAAAAGACAGGATTTATTGCATGCTAGTATTTGGAAGCATTAGAAATTTTAGCTGATAAAAGAATAAAATCTTGGACTTCTCAATAATACACTTGAAAAGGGAAGTAATTAAGCCTAAGATTAAAAGAGAATGAACTAGTGATCTAGTGGCTTAGCCATGTTGCCTAGGTCTATTGCTATGAGTTGAAAACAAATCATGCCAAATTGGCCTATGAGACTAATATGCTCAATAATTCAAGAAATTGACAAGCAAATTGAAATTGTTAATGAATCAAAAGTTTAAATTTAATGTAATATAATGTGGCAATTCTAATACTCTTGTTCGTTTTATTTTGTGTGATATTATTTTCTTATTAGTTTATTTAAAAAATATATATTATTCTATAAGGGGCATATCCATTGCAATAAGTACGGGTTCACGTGAACCCAGTAACATTTGCTTAGACCCTATTTTGTATTAAAAAGTTCATTAATTTTATAAAAATATTTAGTTTGGAACCCAATTCATTAGTACGACTATTATTTTATATTAGTTTGAGAACGTATAGGAACCTATAAGCTTAAAATCATAGATCCGCCTCTAATACAAATATTATGACATATTTAAGGGCACTAATTTTAAAAGTATTATAGCCACATAAATATTTTGGATGTTCATAGAGTTTTTTTAAAAAAAAATTATTCTTTCTTAAAACTTATGTAAATATGCCAAACAAATTGAAATAAATAGAGTATCTTTTTATCAAACAAGGAAAGAATTTAAAAATAATAAACAATGCAAATAGTCACCAATAGTTAGAAATTATTCCTATTGCTAATCAAACAACTACCTACTCTCGACCCTTTTTCTTTTCCTCCCGTCATCAATTTAACAAACTCTTTGAAAAGGAATTCCTTCCCTAAATTACTTAAAGAACCAAATTTGAAGTTAGTTAATGCCAATCATTATTAGGTTTTTCTAAATTTCTCTCTCTTTATGATCTAATCAACAACAATAATCCAGTATAATCCACAAGTGGGGTGTGGGAACAGTAGAATATACGCAGTCTTATCACTGTCCTGAAAGGGCAGAGAAACTATTTCCGATACACTTATGATCTAATCCCGAGAACTATTTTTTCTCAAATTGCTAATTTTTAAAATTTTCACTCTGCAATTAAAATGATAAAAATACAAAGGTTAATAAAAATAACAGAACTTTAAAGTTATCGTATACAATTTGCTCCATTCCTATTTGTTTGACCTAATTTGTTTCTCGATAACCATGTTTCATTTTCATACCTAACTAAATTAATTAAGTATTTCATATTTTGGACAGAAAGAAAATAAATTTAGAATAAATTAAAATTAACTTAGTTTGAACACCATTCGCGTGACAAAAATATATTAAAGAAGTCTTCTTTCTACCGAGTTTAATAGCCTGTTTGGCCAAGCTGGAATAATCAGCTTATTTTGATAAATATTTTTTTCAAAAGTGCTTTTGAAAAAAAATATTTTTTTAGAGAAACAACTCGTGTTTGGCTAATCACTCTGAAAAGCATTTTTGAGCAATAATTTGTGTTTGGCCAAGCTTTTCATAAAGTGATTTTTAAGTATCAAATTACGAATAATGACATGAATAGATTACTTAATAGTTAATATTATAAGTAAATAAATAATCTTAAAAATTTGTTATTACATACAATAATTAAATCTTTTCATTTTATTTAAATGAAAAAATAAAAATAAAATTTAAAAGAACTTAATTCTTTTAATATAAGTTAAATATATTAAAAATCATTCAACAAATATAAAAGCATTCACCCCTAAAGTCACTATATATTAGAAAACTATACTAAAAATAATAAGAAATATTTATACATTAATATCATAAGTATTAGGTTTAACGGTTATTTTGGTATATACTATATTTTGTTAAGGGTATTTTTCGTAAGAAGAAAAGTCAAAACTGCTTCTGCTTTTGGGAAGAAACTATTTTTCTGCTTCTCAGAAACTGTTTCTGCTTCTTCCCAAAAGCAATTTTTTTCCTCAAAAAAATTTTGGCCAAGCACCTCAAGTTAGGGAAAAAAAATGCTTTTGTCAAAAGAAAAGAAAAACACTTTTGTTCTATTGAGAAGCTTGGCCAAACAAGCAATAAATTTCTTTAAAAGCTTAAACCTAGTACAACTGTAATATTCTCGTCGGTCCAAAATGATTATCGTTTTAATCAAATTAATTTGACCCAAAATAAATACTAAGTACTATCTTAGAAACCAAAAAATATTAATTATATTTTTCAAATCTATTCTTACTCCAAAAAGATTTCTACAACTTTCTAAAAGGTTAAAGAGTCTAAGGAAGGATAAAGACTAATTAGAGAGCGAAAAGGGTTACTTAGTTATATAATTCTTAGGATTAAAGTTATTAAATTAAACTATTTTTAATAGGTATGTCAAACCTTAAGCAACACTTATTTTGAATATAAGGAAGTATAAATTAAAGTTTAGATCTCACAATCATTCATAAAAAGAGTCATAGCTAAACGTAAACGAACTTATTGTCGAACTAAAATGAATATTTAAATGTATTTTGAAATAACAACTTAAACTTCGAGTTGGCAAAAGGTCAATTCGGTGCATAATATATTTTGAGTTCATTCAGATTTCGAAAAAGAATTATACCTCAAGAGATGCCTTAAGGTTGCTTTCACGCCAACTTAGGCCACATTTGTCCATAAATTTTTTTTTTTTTTTATTTTTTGTAAAAATGCGTTTGTTCATAAAATTTTATAAGTATTTAGAAATTTTTTAAAAATTTAAAAAGAATTTAAATTTTTTTTCTCCTCACAAAACTGCAATATTTTTCAATTGAAATGCATATACAAATATAATTTTAAATTCGAAATAATATTTTTTAATTTAACTCCAAATACTATTTTTTTTTTAACAAACGCCTACTTAAACTTCGAAAAATTAATACAAAAACCATTAGTTGAAAAAAAAAAAAAAAACTAGAAGAACGAGAAGACGGGGAAAAGGGGAGGATGTTGTGTACTTTTTTTTGTTTCGATAAAATACAAAGGAGAAAAAGGGTAGCAGAGGGAGACTTGAATCTAGCTTTTCTATACAGAGACCTGTCTTT